AAACTTGACCTAAAAGGTCAATGTAATTAACGCGATAAGAACGTGGCTTGCTTTCACTGATAACATCAACTAGCTCAGACAAATGTCTCGCTAAGTGATATATGATATCTAAAACGTTGACCTCTCAGGCAAAGAAAATAAAAACTTTACAAGGAAAAAGATGCCTATAAAATCATTAAATTCGCCTTTCTGTTATTGATAAACAAAGTTTCTTCTTGTTCTAATTTGAAATCTTTACCCCCACAAGACTGTCTAACATTAGAAAGGATATTGATTCAGTTTTGTAAGCATACAACTCGAAACTCTATGCGATCTGCACATGCGCGTACTTCTAATGCCTAGACAGACGCATTCCGATGAGATCACAGATACCACATTTGTAAACGAATAGTTTTTTTGTCATATAAAAGCCAAGTAGCATATAACACTTACTAGCGATATTCGTACATCAATACGCTTGAGCTTCCGGTCATATAATAACACAGCCAACCCAATAGTTAATTATTAAATTCTTAACTTCCGGTGGTCCAAACGCGACATGACACATAGATAGATAGATAGATTGGCTAAAAGGTAAATTTAAAGTCGGACCGCCTTCGGCTAGTCCGACTAAAAATGACCCCTCAGGTCAAGAAGCATATTTTACAAAACAAGACTGCGATGAATAACACAGTAAATGGGGAAATATAATAGACAAAACTATTTATTGATACGTAAAATATATCTATTAGAACAAATAAACTTATCACTGTGAGTCTAGAGCTGATTGTAGAGGTCTGATCCTTCGTCTTGTCAAAGAATTCTTTGGGTTCACGGAACGACTCGTTTCGAAACTGACGCTCATTGACATTTTAGTGTGAGTCTACCGCGAACGCCGTGTGCGTTTGTAAGATGGTTGAGCTGCCGTTAAGCGTCTCAGTCTCGGTTGTACTTTTTTGAACTCTCCAAGGAAGAAGGAAGAAACGTCGAGCAAACGTACTGCAGCACAAGTAGTACAGCACCATGAGACAAGTAAAGTAAAGCATTATGGATAATATGATTGACCATGTGACCWTGGTATTCCTGTGCTATCCAACCAGGAAATTATGGGTAATTTTAGTTGCCAGGTTACTTTGTAGGTATGCACGTGATTTGCTGATTATTATGGTATATTTGACAGGGCTACCTTTGCCCTGGTAACTGCAAAAATGTGTGATTGGATGGGACATTCAGTACTCTGAGCATGCGCTTATGTTTTATTCAGTTACATAAAGCACACGTCCTCCCACATGGTTCTTAACAAGCAAATTTATTAGTATATAAGTCAAGCAAAAAGTAGTAGTATACGATGATATGCCGCAGACTCGGAGGTAGACTTATATGACGTATGCTAATTAAATAAATGTTATGACGTCAATGTGACGCAATTACACAGGGATCCCAGTTGGAGATGTCTGATTTCCGGTTAGAAAGAATATCACATGACAGGAGGGTTGCGGATTGAACTTCCGGTGTCCCAAACGCGACATGACACATAGATTGACAAAAAGGTAAAACTAAAGTCGGGCCCCCTGCGGGTAGCCCGACTAAAAAAACAATTCAGCTACGGTGTCCCAAAATCACTGATAGAGACAGACGAGGAGGAGGGCAGAACGCGAATTTATCGCTGACTTTGAGCGATTTTATGGGCAAAAATCAGTTGCGCTTTGCTTTGAAATAAATGTTCCCACATATTATAAATTATATCCAGTATCTGTCCGTATACAAAACGATGGTCACTTCAAAATAACATGCTTCAGTATTCTTTTCTATTTCTATGGCAACTCTGACAGTTTATTAGGTAAAATACGTCAAACCTTATATACAAAGAATAGATATCCGAGTTGAATTGTAAAATTATTGGAAATTCACCGAAATTCCACCACACATTCTATAAAGAATATACTAATATAACTAACTCTAAAATTATTTTACCATTGTCCAGTTCTTACATCCTATGATT